GAATATTTCTCATGTTGGTTCTTCTATAATTAGATCACATGCCAATAATGATCACGCTTTTCTTCTTGATAATCTTCTTCATGTTCCTCATATCACCAAAAATCTCATTAGTGTATCCCAATTTGCCAAAGATAACCATGTGTTCTTTGAATTTCATCCAAATTTTTTCTTTGTGAAGGACCAACAAACAAATGAAGTGTTGCTGAAAGGGAAACTAAAAAATAGATTGAATGCATTCAACTTGATCTACAAGAATGAAGACCAGAGTTCTCCTTGTTATCCCAATTCCTATTTAATAGCTTTCAATAATAGCAATCCAGCATTTGCTGTGAATGTAATTCAGTCTAATGCCAAGAACAACTCCAAGTTATGGCATCATAGACTAGGGCTTAGTTCCTATGACACTATTAAAAGGGTTATGAATGATTGTAATCTCTCTTTTGTTGATCATGAAATGAAGGATGTTTGTGCTTCTTGCCTCAAATGTAAAAGCCATCAATTACCTTTATCCAGTTCTGAAAATGACTCTTATGATCTTATTGAGCTCATCTATACAGATTTGTGGGGCCCTTCTCCTATTAAACCCAAACAAGGCCACTCCTATTATATTAGCTTCATTGACCACAAATCCATATTTTGTTGGCTTTTTTGTCTTAAGAACAATTATGATACATACATCACCACCCTTCATTTCAGACAAATGATAGAAAATCAGTTTCAGAAGAAGGTGAAAATCTTGCAAAGTGATAGAGGAGCTGAGTTCAAACCTTTGTCAAAATTTTTCAATGAAAACGACATTATCCATAGACTTTCTTGCCCATACACCCCTCAACAAAATGGAATTGTTGAGATGAAGCATAGACACGTTGTTGAACTAGGTCTTGCTATGATGTCCACTGCTCATTTACCTAGACATTTTTGGATTTTGTTTTTGAAACCTCAGTTTTTCTCATCAACAGATTACCTACCAAGATTCTCAAACATCACAGTCATTTTGAAGTCTTATATAGTCATAAACCTTCTTATCACAACCTCAAGATCTTTGGTTGTTTGTGTTTCCCTCATCTAAGACCCCTCAACAAACATAAACTGCAAGATAGAGCTCAAGCAGCAACTTTTGTTGGTTACAACTTTAGGCACAAAGGCTACAAAGCACTTCTCCATGATGGCAGGATAATAATCACTAGAAACATCATTTTTTATGAATACTCTTTATCTTACCATTCCTTGAACACCACTCCTTACTCAGAATCCACTAACCATACATATTCTACGAATTTTCCAAATCAAATTCTTGTATCTCACACATCTGAAAATCCCAACTTTAACCCTCGAGTGCAAATAATACGCCCCCACACACCCCACTCACTACCCCAAACACATAGACATCATCTTCAACAAACATCTCTAGTCCTCATAATAATCCTACACAACCTCCTCTCCTCAACTCACCAATTCCTTTGTCCTCTAATGATCATTTTTCTGGCTGTGATGTTTTTGTAGATTTACCTATTGAGAATGTTTCTAATCCTGATGTCTCCTCTAATGAGCATAATCAAGTTGTTGCAAGTCATCATGACATGGTTACTAGTCCAAAACAGGCAGCTAAAAACCAAAGACTTATGCAGCTGTTCTTCAACAAAATTTGGAACCAAAATTTTACAAAGAAGCACAACAGCTACCACACTGGAAAGAAGCTATGGACAAATAATTTTCAGCCTTGATCAAGAACAACACCTGGTCTCTTGTTCCACTTCCACATGATAAGGGTGTCATCAGCTGCAAGTGGATTTTCAAGACCAAGAAGAACTCTGATGGCGCTGTTGCCAAACACAAAGCAAGACTAGTTGTAAGAGGATTCACTCAGTTGGCAGGTTTGGACTACACAGAAACTTATAGCCCTGTTATGAAACCAACAACATTCAGGATAATCCTCTCTCTTGCTCTTGCTAATAAATGGAAAATTCAGCAGCTAGACATTGATAATGCTTTTTTGAATGGTGACATTGATGCTGATATACATATGGAACAAGCTCCAGGGTTCGAGAAAGCCAGTCTTAATGGAGAACCATTGGTTTGCAAGCTAAATAAATCATTATATAGGCTAAAAAAGGCATCTATGGCATGGAACTCAAAGCTAGCACATGTGTTGTCTTCTCTGGGTTTCAAGAACTCTCAAGCAGATACCTCTCTTTAGTACAGAAAATATGAAGACTCTGTACCATCATTCTCACCATGTTGATGACATCATCATCACATGAAGTTCTCCAACCAAAATTTCCTTTTTCATCAAGAAACTGAATGATATTTTCCCTCTCAAAGATATTGGTTCCCTAAATTACTTTCTTGGCATTCAAATTCTACCAGACACACAAGGATTTTTTTAAACCAAGAAACCTACATTTCAGAGATTCTACACATGGCAGGCATGAAAGATGCAAAGGGCCTTAATATACCCATGTGCACAGGTACTTCTTTATCCAAGTTTGATGGTGATCCTATCTCAAATCCTACTGAATATAGTTGAATACTTGGTGCTCTTCAATATGCCACCATCTCCAAGCCAAACATAGCCTATAACATCAATAAGCTCAATCAATACATGCACTCACCTCTTACCAATCACTAGAAAACCCTTAAAAGAGTTCTTAGATATTTAGCTGGTACAATCACTTATGGTCTATTTTTCAAACAAAACAACTCTCTCAACTTAACTGCATTTGCTATTGTTGATTGGGGATCGGATCTCGATGACAGAAAGTCCACCTTAGGCCATTGTGTGTTTCTTGGTTAGAATTTGGTGTCTTGGTCTTAAAAAAAAACAGGGTGTTGTGTCTCGGTCAAGCACCGAGGCTGAATATAGAAGCATTGCAGGTGTCACTTGTGAAGTAATGTGTATTAAGTCCTTACTCAAGGAGCTTGGAGTTCAAACATCACAGTCCTGCACAATTTGGAGTGATAACCTCGGAGCTGTCTCCTTATCTATTCGGTTTTTCACTCTAGAACGAAACATTTTGAATTGGATCTCCACTTCATTAGAGGAAGGTAATGAAGAACATCATTAGAGTTCAACATGTTCCTGCCATCGATTAGATTGCTGATGTTTTCACCAAACCACTCTCTGGACAATTTATGCGCGCCTTCGGAACAAGCTCAATGTTGTCCCACGTTCCTTCATAAAATTGAGGGGGGATGATGAAATATATGTTGCTCATGCACGTCCAAACCTTTCATCCATGAAGCTGGTTCATATGGACCAAGAGAAAAGATCCCATGCAAAGACAAAAACCAGCTCACAAGAGAATATGCCATATTGATGCTATTTTTTGAAATTTTTACTTGTCCTTTTCACCTCTAGGTAGTTTAGTTGTTAGGGCTCATTTTGTCTTGTATATAAAGTGCAGAGTTGCGTGTTCAGCTTATCATCAATCAATCAAAGAGCAGTTTTTCATATCAGAGAATAATTCCAAACATGAAGATCATGTTGCTCATTTTCTTGTTCCTTTAAATTCCAACATGAACGAACTCGAACAAGCTTGAATATAGTCGAACTCAAGCTCGAGCTGCCCAATCTCGGTTCGGTTCGGCTCGTGTGCAGCACTGGCCGTGCTACTTGAAGAAATACAATTTGCAACCGCTCATTAGTATAATGTTAAACTCATTAGTTTAAAGTTAATGTACATACTTGAAGATAATTTGATGGATGCATTTTTAATATTCTCCGCACTGCCAGTGCCAAATTCAAGAACGATTTTTTCAAGCAACTTACATCAATTTAATGGATGCATTTCTGGCTCATTTCTGTGATATTAACTGTGTATCGATAGTCTTACGTATCTATGCTAGCATGTGGTATTACCGCTAGACAAAAATATAATATAGTAGGTATAAATATCTATAGATTTTAATATCGAATATGGAAAAATAATAGAAAAAATTAAATAATTATATTCATCACTAAGTAAAACATAAAGTTCACTTTTTTTTAAAAAAAAAAAAAAATATTTTTTAATAAGTATTTATTGAATACTACATTTTGGTATTACTTCTTTACTTATTGACCGGTAGAATACATTATTTTAATCCTTGGTCAAGCCCATTAATAGGTTTTGTTCTTATTTTTACTGTATTTTCATGAGTTGGAGTTTAATTTTCGAATATGCTCATAATTTTCTTATGTTTGTGTATTTTAACATGATTTTTAGCTTTAAATGACTTGAAGGTTGCAAATTGTAATTTTTCTTAGTCCAACGAGTTTTTATTTGCTAAAAAATTTAATTTAGGTTGCAAAATTTTAAACTGATTAAATTATAGGTTGTATATAATATTTTTTTTTTTTCAAAAAATAAACAGTGAATAAAAAAATATTTAAAAGAATCTTTTTTTTTTTTTGGTACAATTAAAAGAAATATTTTAGAAAGGAAACATGTCACAATTCAGAATTTCTTTTCTTCTTTTCACCTTTTCTTCCTTTAATGAAATTGTTACCCAAAAAATAAATAAAAAACCACAATATATTTTACAAGATGTTCACACCAAGCATAATTTTTGCAAGATTACCAATTTATACCTTGTAACATAAATGCACTCTGCTATGGCCACCCCATAACAACTTCAAAGTAAGAGATCAAAGACTCTGTCGTCCGTTCGACCAAAAGCTGGTGAAGAACAGCCGCCGCCCGATGTTAAAACAACTCAATCACATACTAGAATTCGTCCAGAGTACAGTAATCAAACAAAACTTAGACGAAGCAAGATTCTGAATACGAACATTAATCACAAATTCATAACTTCAAAGTTTAAACTCAGACACAGCTTCAGAAAAGGAAAAGAAGGGCATAAATGCAAGAAAAACACAAGGAATAGGAAGATCAAGAAATAAACGTCATTCAACTAAAGATTAACTCTACTAAACTTAGTTAGACAAATGTACGTCCCAAAAACTCCAGCAGAGAAAAAACTTAAGAACCAACAAAACCACATACTTAGGAAACATGTAGCTAAGAAATCTTCCTCTTTTTCGACCTTTTGGTATCATCAACAAAGTCATCATCCGTATCCTCATCTGTTGACTCATCATCCTTGCTCTTGCGTTTTTTGGATGGCTGAGATTTTGCTTTGGACGGTGGTGTCTTTTTTTTCTGAGTGGTAGAAACTGCAGAATTTGCTGACTTCTTCTCGACAGTGGTGGAGTCGGATTTTTTCTTGACGGTAACAACAGTTTTCATGGGTGAGCTTAGCCGTTGCTCCTTTGCTTTTTTGACTTTCCGATCGAAGACTTTTTTGGCCACGTCTTTTGGAAGCAAACCGGACTCCATCATCCTGCAGTTGACATTTAGGAAAAGAAAAAACAGGGAGATTTGCATCAGGGATAATAATAACACTTGCGGTCACTGAGATTGGCCAAATTGCAAAAATAATCAGTCATTTTCCCAATACTTAACTACTCCTGTAAGGTGTTGGGAAATGCTCCAACCTTTTCTTTTCGTTTTTTCTTTTTTTTTTGTGTGTTTTTCATTTTTCAAATTTTTGGTGTGTATGTATGGAACCAATTGCCGTAACGCTAACAACATCAGATGCGAAAACTAATAGAAGAATACAAGATCTGTAGAAGAATACAAGTCGTGAATTTATAACGACTGATTACGTTGTGACATCTATGAAACTTTGGCTGACATGAATTAATCTCTTAAAGCTGTATTTGTCCCAGGTCCCAGCACACGTTTCTCATGGACAGTGAACAAGCATTTATATTTACAAGCATGAAGTGTGAAATATAGCAATATTTGAAATATAAACGACTGAATTATCGAGTTTGTATTAATAAATATGAGCAAAAGACAATGCAACGAGGTAAAATCATCTGCTTTTGTTATTTTCTTTTGTCAACTACATGACTACACTCATAACTCACAGATATTCACCCTTTATGTTATTGTAGGCGCTTGCAGGGTACATGCACTTATTTCAGAGAACAATGCAAATGAGAAACATATTTTTCCAGACCGTTATTAATAACAGAGACAAAAGAAAACAGAAGATTTAATACAAGCATACCCCAAACCGGCACGTGTGAAACAAAAACAAATACTATGTACAAAATTAAAAAGGTAAGGCATGAAACAAACGCAAAAGATTACAAAAGAAGAGGAAAACCTAACCAAAGGAAAATGAACAATAAACGAGAAAAAAAAAATTGGAAATCTACAGAAAGGCAGAAACTCGTCACTAAGCAATGTTGAAAGAAAGATGAAAGCTTCCTAGTTTTAAATTCAATTTCTTACCTATTCACCCGAACAAAACTACAATCACACAGTTCTTGTTTGTCAATAAAGGAGCAATGATCAACTTAATCAAACGCTGGACACAATATGAACAATTAAACACTAACTACAATTTCGTCAAGTATGTACAGCAACGAACATAGCAACTTTTACTTTGATGTTCAGATATAAACATAAATTATACTCACCATATAGCAGCCATCTCACTATCAGGCACTTGCTTGTAAAGTGACTCGTAGAAAATCCTCAATGGGTCTCTCTGTAAAACCCCAATTCAATACACAATTGTCAATCTTACTTAGAAAACAAATCCAAGAACAAAAACGAAAGAAAACAAGAAGCAGCAAAGCTTACAGCCTCAGGAGTATCCCTCTTTTGACCTGGTAAATCAAACACCTTTCTCTCTCTTTTCTGAACAGTCTTATTCTCACCAGCTTTACCTCTTTTCTTCGTTATTTTCTCCGGCTTTTCTTCTTCTTCCTCCTCCTCTTCTTCCTTCTTAGCCTTCTTCTTCATCTCCTTAACCTAAAACCCAACAAAAATTAACTCGAAAAATTCGTTCAAACCGAATAAACACAACGAGAAACTCCCAAAAAAAATTTTCAAATTTCTGACCTTAGTGTCGGCCTTTCTGGGCGCCTTCTTGGAAGAGGGTTTCTCGAAATCTTCATCGTCCTCCTCTTTTTTCACGTTTTTCACTTCGTTCCTGCCCTTAGCCTGTGATTTCGAGGCGGCATTGCTATTTTTGGGTGATTTATTCTTGCGCTTCGCGAGCGACGCTATGCACAGGTCGTCGTCGTCGCCGTCGCCGTCGCCGTCGTCTACCTCCTCTTCCGAATTCTCTCTCTTCACGTTTTTCACTTCGCTTTTAGGCATTTTCTCGAGGAATAAAACTGAGTGAAAGGATTTTGAAAATGAATTGACGGTCGATTTTGTGAAGAAAGCTTCGGGAGTGACGGTGAAGGGTTCTTCGTTTTCTTTTGATTTCTTTTGGGTTCTTGTTCTAATATATTGGGCTTAAAAGCACATAAAAGATGGGATATGGGTTTACAACTACTCATTGAAGCCCCATTTGTTGGTTCGTTGGGCGTTATATTGAGAGAAATTCTTGAAAAGGGGTTCTTTATTTATTTAAAGATGAATATGCATCCCATATAATAATATTTTACTAGTATGTTCCCATGCCATACATGTCATATATTAAATGAGTTACTTCTACAAGATTTACCTGTTTAAGTTTAAAAATTATCATCTATTTTTCACCTCTTTTAATAAGCGTCAAGTCTAAAAAAGAATTGAGTTATAATTAGTGACGGAGCTAGGATTTTAACTTGGGGAGGGGGGCAGATTTTAAGTGTTAAATAACGATTTTGTAATTTACGTAGAAATGCTCATTTCATGTAAAGTTGTGTTTACTTATAATAATAGATATTAATATGTGTACCTTCAAGTTTTTATAAGAACTTAGAATCCGTATATCTCTCAAACTTTTTTTTAAA